TGGACCTCCGTGCTGCTCTGACCTCTCCCCCATTCCCCTTCCCCTCTCCAGGCCATCTACAAACAGTACGACATAGATCGCTCAGGGACCATTGGCAGCAATGAGCTTCCAGGAGCCTTTACAGCTGCAGGTTTGGGGGCTCTGGGGTTAGAGGGCAGGTTGGGGAGGGGTGAGACAGGACATGGCCCCAGCGCTTCTGGGGTCCAACCACTTTGGATCTAGAAGCTTTGAGAGCGAACCGATTTGTGATTTGATCAGCGCAGGAAACCAGGCCCTGTGGGATGGGAATTTAACTTGAGGCCTGTGGATGGCCCAGGGGTCCATGACCTTGGATGGGAAAAAAAATTCCGTCTTTATTTTCAGAACCTCTAATTAGAAATTCCATGAATGGAGGCCGCATAAGTGATTCCAAGTAGGGATCCCTAGGCTTCCCACGCTGCCTGGGGGGGGGGGGCCTGAACCAGGTGGTCCTGATTCCAAGGCCCCACATGGTAGAGGGGCCGGAAGGCTCCCGTAGAGGCTATCCCTGACTCAGTTAGAATCTCTTTACAAACATCACAATAATCAGCAGCTAATCAACTGACCGATCGCCCATTGGTCCTCAGTGGAAGGTACTCCCTTCATCAGTACAGATCACAGCCCCCACCACACCTCGTCCTGCTGTGATTCTTCTGCCCTGTCCTTCCAGAAGTCTGGGGTTCAGAGCTGGACCTCGGGACATCTCTAACCCAATCCCCTTATTTTATATAGGGGGAAACTGAGGCCTAGAGAAGATCCCACAGAGTCAGGAGAGTCCTGGGTTCAAATCCTGCCTTGGACACTAACTGGCCACGATGTGTCATCTCAGCCTCAGTTTCCTCATCTATAAAAAGGGGGAATGAATCCTTGTATTCTCTATCTTCGGAGGTTGTTGTCGGGAACACGCTGCAGGCGTCTGAGCAATTAAAAACTAATCAGTAATTCAGTGAAATCTGATCAGTCACTGATTAACAACTGATATTCATTTGATAGCCGCAAGGCAGAGGCATAAGTCTACGGCCTTAGACACTTATTGGTGCTTTGGGGTTCATATCCAATCAATAGTTATTAAGCACCTACTGTGTGCTAAGCTGTGCCCTCAAGGAGCTTTCAGTCTAGAGGACTGTGAGGATACCCAGCCTCTGTCAACAAGCATTTATTAAAGTACCTACTACGTGCTGAGCACTGTACTGAGTGCTTCAGATACTAGCCGGGTGACCCTGGGTGAGTCAGCAGTCTGAGCCTCAGTTTCCTTATCTGTAAAATTGAGCATAATCAACTCCCAGAGGTGGTAAGAGGATCCAAGAGACCTTAAAGGGCTCTGGAAATGTTTAGTGTGCTCATGCGGGAATTGACAGCCACGTGGTACTTAGTGCCTGACTCTGGAGCCAGAGGATCTGAGTTCTAATTTTACCCTACTATTTATTTACCACCTGTGTGACCCTGGGCAAGTCAGCCCCCTCCTTCTGCAGGAGGGTAGTGAGGGGGCTGAGTCTGAGCCTGTGACTGTAGGTGAGGGCAGGCAGGGCGGGTCCTTGGTGGGCCGGCTCTCCCAGTCAGTCCCTGGATATGGGGGGGGGCAGGAGGGCAGATGGGGAGCCTGGTCCTGGATCCCAGAGCCGGCCGCTGACCCCTGCCGGGCCCCCCAGGCTTCCAGCTCAGCCCAGAGCTGTACCAGATGATCATTCGGCGATACTCCGACGAGGACGGGAATATGGATTTTGACAACTTCATCAGCTGTCTTGTGCGCCTGGACGCCATGTTCCGTGAGTGATTCGGATCCCTTGAACCCTGCCAGGGGATGGGGGTGGGGGTGGGGTGTCTGTTCCCAGGCCTCCCTGTGACACACCACCCTCCCAAGCCACGGGCCTCGTGCACTTGGAGATCCTCTCCTGCTCACTGTTCTCTCCCACCCCCAACCCAGGTGCCTTCAAGTCTCTGGACAAGGATGGCAGTGGGCAGATCCGGGTAAACATCCAAGAGGTGAGGGCCAGCCCCCCGCCCTGTGTCTGTGGGGGTCTGGTCTGGGCAGTGCTGGCAGATTCCTGGGGGAGCCCCCCAATTCACTCCTCCCCCGACTTCCCCTCTTCCCCCAGTGGCTGCAGCTGACCATGTACTCCTGAGGCCTGTGCGTCTGTCCACCTGACTGGTCATCGGCCCCTCTCCACCACCCAGGACAGCGATTGCCAGGAAGCTGCCCTCCCCCTCCCCTGTAGTTCTGTGGATCTCAGCCCAACAGGGAACCCTCTGGCACTGCACCGGCCCCACCAGCCAATGAGGCTGTTATTCCTGGGGTGCCCCTCCTACCCCCGCCTGTACAAACATGGCCACCACCAAGGAGCCCCTGCTCCCCACTCACCCACACCCCTGCCTCCCAGCTCCGGAATGTGCCAACCAGCCACATGCTCCCCCCCAGCACCCCTGCAAACATGTCACATGCTTTAACACGCCAGCCACATGCTTCCCAGCCTCCTTAGAAATACTTATGCTCTAATGTGCTGTCTCTCCCCCAGTTCCACCCCCACACCTGTAAACATGTCACGTGCTCTAACACACCTACCATTGCCCCCAGATGCCCACAAATACATGTTACGTGCTTTCACACAGCCAGGTGCCATCACGTGCTGCCCCCATGGGGTTCATCTGGTATCTAGTGCCTTTTCCCACTCCCCCTGTGCTTCAGCCCCCTCCCCTTCTCTGGGTGGGCCTGGGAGCAGGGGGCGGGGCCCAAAATAAACAGTGGTCACAAGACTGCCGGCCTCCTCTGATGCATCCCACCACCATCACTCTGCTCATACAGTAGCTCGGGCCAAGGTTTCTTTATTTGGGAGGTTGGGAGTGGGGACCCTGGGTCCTTGGCATTGCTGGGGGGCAGGGCTCCCCTCAGCTCATCTTCCACTAAGGAGGGCTGTGCAGGTTGAGGGGGGATGGTGGGAATGTGTTTCTCTCCCTCAGACCGTGAGACCTGGGTCACCACGAGCACCTACCATTCACACAGCTCTGATTGCCTTGGGGAGGGAAGGTCTCCCTGCCCTGGCTCCTTTTACAGAAGGGGGGGTTGGGCAGGGCTGGTTTTAGATTGAGTGCTCTGGGGGTGTCTGAGCAGATAAGGGGCCATACCCTAGGAACCTGACTGAAGGACTGTCCACGGGGGACAATTTCCAAACCTGTTCCCCTCTTCCCCTTTGCCCACTGAGCCACGAGGGTCCCTCTGGACTCAAGGGCCCAGAGATCGAGCAGCTGAGATGGTGCCTGGTCCAGGGACACCGGGCCACTTGGTTTGAGCTACCCCCTCAGCAGGCCCTCCTGAGAGCCGGGCTTTTGCCCCTGTTAGGATTCTCCCATCTGCCTCCCTGATCCCAGAGACAGACCCTGGAGAGAACTAAAGGCCCAGAATTCCAGACCCCCGGAAGGACTCCTCCCACATCATTCAGTCACTTCACACAGACCACGACCAGACTGCCCCCCCCCATGTCTGATTTCCTATGACCCCTCCCGTGTGACTCAGACCCTCCAGGATGGATGACAGGCATCATCAGCTGGGGGCAGGGGTGCAGGGCAGCATCCTGGAGAGCCCTTGGGGGTGTGACCCTCACCAAACCCAAGATAGACAGCAGGAGGGGGTGGGGGCCCACCAGCTAGTCACAGAAGTAACAGGAATAGACAGGGTCATGTCAGGTAAGCTCCCTCTCTAAGACGGATTCCCTTTTCTGGGGATCCTGCCTGGTTCCCCAGTCTTTCCCCCAGGACCCCCAGTCTCCTTGGAACCTAGGCTTCTGCTCTAGTGTGGGTGTGTATGTGTTGGGGTGAGGGTGATGGTCCGGAGTCCTTGGCTCCCTTTAGGAGAAGGGGAGGGAGGGAGGCACGTAGATACATCTGGGTCAGGGGCCTAGGTCTCGTATCACCACCACCAACAGACAGACTTGCCCTAGATCAGCTTTCTCCCAGCAAGGGAATTTATTTCTGCCCAGCCCTAACCCTCACCCCAGGCCCAGGCCCTGCCACGCCTTTCCCCTTGTCCGGTCCTGGTGTCCAGTCTCACTTCTGGTGGGGGAAGGAGGCCCAGCCAAGGCAGAAGAGGCTGTAACTAGTGCCTGGAGGGGGGAGAGTGGGAAGAGAAGAAAGTGAGGGGTGCCCGACCCTGATCTCACCCCCCCCCTAGAGCTCCTGAATCCTCAGAGCCCAGAAGTCAGCACCCCCTCTTCTGCCCTCCCCACAAGGAGTCCAGGGTCCCCAGGCCCTGGACAGAGACCTTCCACCACCCCATCCCCCACCCAGCTTGGGGCCCAGCTCTCCCTCCCCTCACTCACCTCCCAGGCAGATGGCCATGGTTAATTTATACAGAAGGTTGTCTTTGCCTCCACCCTTCAGGTGGACTGGGAGGTCATTGTTTTCCTAGGATGCAGAGTGAGGCGTTAGGCATGAGGGAGGGCAGTCCTGGTCATCACCCCCGAAAAGTTAGGGGGCCCCCACAGCCGGGACTTCTGGAAGCATGGGGAGAAACTGGGGTCTCTTAGGGAACACAGCAGGATACGGCAAAGCAATGGGCAAGGCTGCATCAGACGACCCAGGGAAGAGGGCCATGGGGCGTGCTTGACGGATGTTGGGGTGCCTGGGGGGAAGGGGGTTCAGGTCCTGGGCTCCCCTCACCTGGAAGAGCTTTTGTTTTTCAGCTACTTTGTTCACAAAGCGGTTTCTGGCACTGGAGCTGAAGGGTCGGATCAGGGCCCGGGAGTGAGATACCTGCAGGGGATGGATTGGAGGGGAGTAAAATGAGTGGGAGGGTCCTGGGGCAGGGCTGTCAAGGGCAAAGGTCAGAGGGCGGCCAGCAGCTGGATCAGAGCCTGGAAGGAACCTCAGAGATCACCTGGCCAAGAATTCCCCCCAAATAGCCCCAGACTGGGGGGAGAGGGATGGCGGGGTAGGGGGCATCCCCCTTGAGAGGGACATTGGAGAGTTCTAGCTGGGGACTCAGAATACAGAGAAGGGAATCCCAGGTTGAATGAGAAGGGGGTTCCTGGGAAAGGGATACCCCATGGGAAAGGCTTCCAGTACCAGAGGTCCGAGAGGGTTTCTGGGGTTAGAGGGTCCTAGTGGATCCCAGCTCCAGAGAAGGCTCCCTGAGGAGGGACACCAGTGGGGCCTGGTTCAAGAGGTCAGAGGAGACTCCTGGGCCTAGAAGCCCCAGTGGGTCCTGACACAGATGGTCAGAGAGCTCCTGAAGTTGGGGTTCCCGATGAGACCTAGCTCAGGAAGTCAGAGGGGAGTCCTGGGCTCAATGATCCCACCAGGTAAAAAGTCCTAGCCCCAGAGGGCAGGGGGTCCCCATGGGTACTGGCTCAGGAACTGAGTATACTCCTCTGTGGTTATGCATCCTGGTACTTAGTAAGGGTTCCAGCCCTGAGGGTTGGGAGGGCCTCAGTGTGTCCTAGCCCAGGATAATGATAGCATTTATTTAGCACCTACTATGTGCCAGGCTGAGAAGTTAGATGGCTCAGTGGATACAGCACTGCACCCATTTAGGGTTAGTGAGTCAGGAAGACCTGAGTTCAAAATCAGCCTTAGACACTGACTAGCTCTGTGACCCTGGGCAAGTCACTTAACCTGTTTGCCTTAATCCACTAGAGAAGGAAATGGCAAACCTCTCTGGTATCTTTGCTAAGAAAACCCCACAGACAATATTGGCATAATGGGGTCACCAAAGGTCAAACAAGACTGAACAACAATTTGCCAGGCACTGTGCAGAGCGTTTTACAAACACATCTGTTCTGACCCAAGAAGTCAGAGGGAGCTCCCCCCTTTCTGGGGCTGGGGGTCCTGGTGGGGCCCATCTCAGGA